TAATTTGAAAAGTTATTAAGAAATGTAGGTTGCCATTTAAAAAGTTCGTTAAATTCACAAGGTTTAAATACATAAGGGACGGGGATGTATTTTCTAAGATATTGTCTGAGTCATAGTAACAACCCTGTATTTTCCATTAATATTCGGTGTTTAGGTCTGTTCGACAAACACTTAAAAACAACAAAGTATAATAATACAATATGCGTTTAGTCAATAAAGATTATAATTTATTTATAAGTTCGTATTTATATTTACACAAAAAAAAAACGCTCGTCTCTAACGAACGTCAACTTTTTGTTTGCACACATCGCTCGCATATTGTTAGAGGTAATATTTTACTCGTAAATTTATATATTTACTATCAAAAAGTACACCCAAAAGATGTGCGATACGCTAACACCGGATACTATCATGTTTGAATAATTGTAAAAATATATAATAATTCGAAGCTCGAAGAAATTAAAGTGTATTTCGGGCTTGCAGTGTTTAATAGTATGATTAGGGCCGTGTCTTTAGACTATGTTTTTTTTTGTTATAACGAAACAAATTTTTACTTAACACCGCAATCGAATGCATACACTATATAGTACTCGAGTGTTTAAAATATTACTCGACAGTGAACATATGGTAGATATCCATCAGCGCCAACCGAATATGTTTTGATATGTGTGCTGGGGATAAAATAAATATTATCCGTAGGGATGTTTTTGGAATCGTTCCAATTTCCAAATGAATATCTATCAAACTTAACGCGAACAATTTTTAATTTTTCAGTAGAACAATGAACAGGTTTTTTTTTTAAAATACTATAGTATATTTACTTATTGTACTATGTATTGTATAGCTTGTAAATAAACAAACAGTTTGAAATAAAAACAAAAAAAATAAAATACTATAGTGTTCTGTAATGCTCGAGATGAGAAATATCGCTTATTTAATTGGCTTGAATTATTATTAAGATTTCACTTACCGAAAATTTAAACCATAATTAAAACAAATACTTTCCCACACGAATATAATATTCAGCAACTATCTCGGTTTGGTCTACAATTTGGGTTGCGGATTCGTGTACATTATTATTAAAACATAGCCAACCGTCAACAGCTGTTAATAAGGCTTAAATTAAAATAAGAGCGATTGCTTCGAAATATACAGCTAATCACTTGAGCAAATGATAAATATTATAATAATTGAGATTTTAAAGAACAATAAAGTTTTATGACTTTTTTTTTTTTTTGAAGACATTGCATGTTTTGAATATCTTTCGATTTATTAGGTACTAGGATCAAATTTTTAATTCATATTTTGTTTTACAGAACATTGTTACTTATTCTGTTAATTACATTAGTATAGAAAACTGTAATACCAATATCATCGACAGCAACTACATAAATATTTTTTAATGTACTTGATTTTCTATAGTGTATTCTGTTTGACAGAATTAGTCACTATAATATGTATAACCAATAGGGTTTTACAAAAAAAAAGTTGGTTCTATTGAAGTTTTCAGTGTTGTATCTTGGCGGCCTTGACCATGGACATTAAAAACTAATCGCAAAATCTTGCTGAAAAAAAATTCGCCATAAAACTTTCAGCCTCCCCACTCAAGTGTTTTATACATCTCTGGACCTAATAATAGAACAAATAACGTCTGTTTTTTAATGGCGTTAAAATATTTTTAAAAATGTGATAATATTAATATGAAATCGTTTCGTCCAGATGATTGACAATTGAGGTTATCGGATTAACGACGTAAACGAGCGTAGAATAAGTTAATAACAATTATAAATTGACGATGACATTAAAACGAAAAACACAATAGAATGATCTTAATAATAAATATGTATATAAAAAAACATTTACTTTTCAACGCTTAATTGTATACAACCATTTTGTCGTAATAACAGTTTTTTTTTGGTTGTATAACATGTGTTGTAAAAAATAAACACAATAATATATTTTATGGTTTATACTTTATACAATTTTCTTGTAAAGACATTTAAAGGTCTTTGGTTGACCAAAACGATAACCATACCGGGGGAAAAGTAAAAAAAAAAATGAAGTAGGTACTTTGTATTAAAATAATTATAATGTCATTTTCTTCGGCAATAATGTTTTCTCCGGAAAAAAGTGAAATGCATAAAAAATATTGTAATATGCATTTACCTTTGTAAAAACACAATGAACAAGGAAAGAAACTGAACGAGTGGGTTTTGTCGCAGCTGTTAAAACTTAGAAAACGATTATCATTCGCGTCGATCCTGTCTTTCTTTGAGGCTAACTAACAATCATTGCGAAATCAAGAGACCGGATAGCGAGAGATAAAACCGTTTTACGGTTTTTTTATTTTTATTTTTGAGGAAACAAAAGCAATTATCGTTATTTAGCGTACCGTATAGAACCGACGTCCATATAATTTATACCTACTGTATTTAGAGTGCAACATCTCAAAAGGCGGGACGACCGATGGTACAAACTAAAAATTAATTATTATATTCGGTTCGTACGAAAATATATTATGCGGAAAAAGAAACTGTCTTCGGCATGACACGGACCGCACGGTTACCGGCGTGGTAAAAAATAATCAGAAATAAAAGATATCATTTCCAAATAAAATGCAATTCAAATAAATAATCATCGGTTGTTTGTCAATATTATTTAAAAATGATTTTACTATTTTCGAAACAACACCGGGAAAGTTATTTTCAAACCATGTATTTTTTAAAACCGGTAATTGTGTGAGTTTGAGAAATTGACATTAAATATGTCAATAAATTTAAGAATCACATATTCAAAATCTTTTTATAAATTTTCATGTTTATAGTATTTAAACATATTTCGTCTGCTCATAAATCAGTAGCTGACTGTGTACATTTTAATGCGTTACATTTTGTATAATCACTTTTTGTATCTTGTCTCAACAAGTAAAGTAACAAATTCAAATAGTCCACACTTAAAAATAAATAGTAGCTTTGACTTAAAAAAATATTGACCTAGTTGTTATTAACCTAAATTCACTTGAACTTTAAAGCGTGTTGCTAAAATTTAACTTTGACCCCTTGACGACAATAAGTCATTTAAGTGAGAAAGTAAGTACAGAGTTTCTAACGATATACTTGCGGGTTATATCGCAAGAAACATATTATAAATCATGAATAAGTTTTATGGCACTCATTCAGTTCTATTCTTAACTGAACAGTTCACATGACTCAAATGTTTTTCCTTATTATGAAATGGGTAAATAAATAAGTAAGTAAATAAATATATTGTACAAATCGAGTAAATAAATTTAGTAAACTATAAAATAAATAGAGTAAATAAAACGAGTAACCGAATTAATGGATTGAGTAAATAAATTACAAATCTAGCTAATAAATCCAGTAACGAAAATAGGTAAAAAAAATGGCTCATGTTTTGATCTTACTGAAAAGTATAACGCAAATTTTAAACTGACTCCAGTCATAAAACTCGGTGTAAGGAAAGAACCTCTACGCGGTACACCGAGACAACGATTCAGTGATTTAGTGATATTCATGTTAAAATATGGCCTAAACCATGAGTCAAACATAAATTTATAATAACATAAACACCAATGGGACCGATAATTTGTATGTGTGTTACATATATACACATTATAGGTCACCAAAGGGTTGCTTAATAAAAATTAAAATAGACGTTTCGCAGTGATAACTATGGCGCCTTTAAACGTATAAAACGATTATCGCCGTATGCCTAATTATTATTATTATATTTCTACACAACTGAATAGCCTATAATAATTACGGACAGTATTTTGTTTTGTTATGGCCATGCCACTATTATTTCATTATCACCTATACTTTATATTATAAATTGTTTTTAACATGAATATATTAATTTATTACTGAAGGTCAGTTCAAAATTTGCTTTTGGAAAACACGTTTTATTAGTATCAAAATGTATTCCATAAAAAAATTTAATTTTTTTTTTAAAAATTTTTTTTTTTTGTTCATTTAATTTATTTGATTACTTGATGACTATATTTATTTGCTCGTTTACTCATTTTGTCAACTTGTCTACTAGAATTATTTACTGTATATTTTGTTTACTGGTTTACTCGATTTGTCATTTCGTATACTATTTTATTTTATGTTATTTTATTTTATTCTATGTGAAAAAAAATTGAATCGTGTGAAATATTCAGTTAACAGAAGTGAATAGGTGCCATAAATCATATTCATGATTAATATTATATACTTTAAATTTGTCGTCAAGTAGTCAAAGTTCAATTTTAGCATCGTACTTTATGTGATATTAAGTTAACACCTAGGTCAATGTTTGTTTAAAATAAAGCTTCTTTAAACTTTGAAGGTGCGCGGTAATACTTTTTTTATTATAAAGATACAAACTAAGTTATTAAGTAGAATTTAATGTATTTAAAATGTAGCCAGTGGCGGATTTTTGGGCAGATAAAATATGTTTAAATACTTTTTTTTATAACTTTGAGCATGGAGTAAAACTAAATCAATATGACGTTCTATATATTTTATAGCCAATGCAATTTGTCTGAATATGGTCTGACAAATGGTATGCAATGCATATTTATTACCTACCGGCCGCAATATAATTTGGGTTCCCAAGCTTTTTATGGGCAACCATCCAATGTAGATGACCTTGTTTTTGTTTTTTTACATTGTAACATCATGTTTACTGATGTAGAATGTTGCGGGTACTTATAATGTAACCATTGTCAGAACGTAGATAATACACACTTTAATTAATATAGACTATTAATGTGTGTTCATAGTTTAACAATAATCAACGACAAAAATTGTTTGAGCTTTTTGACGGTTAAATACTAATACTACAAAAACACGAATCGAGACAGACGAATCATGAGCCTTGTATAAATTTGAAAATAAAATGTTTTTCTTTGAAAAAACCTTTTTATCACTCATTAATCAATTTTACTTACCTTCTATGTCTTTTTAATAATGGACTTACTCTTTTTTTCCTTGCAGATTCTGGGCATCATTTGCTTGGCGTTAGCTTCACCAGCTCGGTTGCCAGGCACCAATTGGTTCTTGTTCGTGGTCATCATCAGCTTTATAGCAACCGCCATCTGGTCTTTTGTTTACCTTTTGTCCATCAGAGAAGCCATCAACTTCCCAATCAATTGGATTCTCACGGTACGTTTTTAATAAACACTAAATCATCCTAATACATTATAATCTGATTCGTTTAATGTAAGACACTGGGTTTCTCTTAAAATAAAGGTAATTTCGTTTTTTTTTTTTAATTTTAAAACCATTAATTTGATAGTTTTTATTTATTTAAAAAATACTAAGTATTTACCATTTTTGCAGTATTTTTCAAAGCTCTATCAACTTTTGACCTACAAACGATAACGTATTAAATATTTTTAATTGACTTTTAAAATTAAAAATAATTTCCTGAAAACGACGACTGATCGAAAAGTTTTGGTTAATAAGAACTTTAAACATTATTATTCAAAATTTGTCATCGACCAGCTGATTTTCATCAAGTTATTTTTAATTCGAAAAATTCACTGTTGAATGCTGTAAAATAACTAAAATGTCTCCAGAAAGAAATCCTACAAAATGTATTGTAATCGTTTTCAAAGGAAACGAGTACTTATTAATTATTATTAGCCTGTATAATATATGTTTTTAATATCGTGTACTTAAATTTTTTTTTCAAACTCTGTTTACATTTAGGAATTTTTCAATACACTCCTGTTGGCCGTCTTGTACATGGTAGCGTTCATCGTACAACTTTCAGCTTGGTCCACTCACAACAGACCGTACAACTCGTACAACTCTTACTACAAAAACCTCAACATATCGGCCGGGGTTTGTTATAATATTATATTTTCTAGTTTTTAAAGTATACAAATAAAATCATTTTTTTTTCTTTTTGAACATCAGTATGATATAACCTTAACGATCTGATTGCAGATATTTGGAATGATCAACACCGCGGTGTACGCAACAGGAGTTTTCCTAATATTTAGCGGCTGGAAAAAGTCGAGAACTGCTGTTCAACAATAGGCTTTTTGCATAATTTTTACATTATTTACGATGTCCGACAAAATATAAAATCCTACCAACACGATATTGACGATGCGTAAATGGATACCTAATATTTAAGTTTTTTTTATAGGTAAGAAAGCTAAAAAAAAAAAAAAATTTTTTAAAAAATGTAAGTTCCTTCTGGCGTTTTCAATAGTTTACAACAGTCGGCTTACTATTTTCGGATTCGCTGTAAAATGCAAAAAATGTGTTCTTAATGTATAAATTAAAGGGGTTTTCAAAGCTTTTAAATGTTTTTTTTCTCCAACAATACAAACAATAGGCGTGTTATATTTTTCTTAGTGTATTGGTAGCGTTTTAATTTAAGTTCTTATTGTACATATAGATATTATTTATTATTATTTTTTATCACATGTGCTTAAATTTAAATTATGATAACTATATATTTTTATAATATGTAATGAATAATGATTTATATTTATGTTATATTATTATGGAATCAAACCGGCTTGTATTAATACGTCTGTTTGTATTAAAAAAAGAAGTTTTTATTTTTACAATACCAGTCTATATTATTTTTAATCAATCGGAAAACAGTAAAAAAAGTCTTTTGAAACACTATTATACTTAACGGCGCAATCTCAGTCACGAGTGCCAATCACTAGCTGGAATTTTTGAAATTAAACTTAATGCTTCGTTTTGTCAGTAAATTAAAGTAAAAAAATACGTTAAATTTCTGCAAACAACTAAAAAACACCATTGCAATGAAATGACATTCAGCTAACTTCTTCTATACTGATCTATACTACATTATTTATTATTCGCACACCTCTAGTCATAAGCACATGCATTGATGTATATCAATTCTAACTCATTTATCTTTTCCAGTCTAAATTGATTCCTTATACCATTTTTGTTTTCCTTTTAATTAAAATATCCTAACGCTGCGCCGCACTCCTCATTGTCACGTCGAGGCTCGTTATATTGCCTATATCTAAATTAGTAGGCGTCAACTTAGAAATGTATTTGTATTCTGTCTTGTTGTGTCAGATAAAATATAGGCTGATGTCACTAGGAAAAAGTAATTTTATCACATACATTTCCATATAGTATTATCCATGTTAAAAAAAAAAACTAATAGTTATATAATTACAATAGTATTATAATCCATGTATTTATTTAGTTAATATCAATAATATTTGAATGTAAAAAAGGTTTTAAAAATATTTTATGAATGACGAGAGGACTGCTTAATATATTTTTATAGTTCTAGGAGGATCTGTATTACATTTCGTATTAGCGATAAGAGATGGTAATTGTAGATTTCCGTAGAATGTTATAATACTTCAATTGTTTAAACTACGAAAACTACGGCGTTTATAAAATAAGATAAAAAAAAATATTAAATGGAATCAACACAGCAATGATTTGTAAACCTAATACTTAATCTAAAATTTGTCATCTAAAATCACATTTATTTACTTTTTTATAATAACTATACCATTTTTTCACGTTGTTATTTTCAAAATCGGATATGATATTGTCTCCGAAATATTGTCATCTTTCGATTTTATAATAAATGTTTTTGCTCTAAAATCACTATGGATCGTGTAAAACTCATAATCTAAACACATCACGGTTAAACCTTTAAATTAAGATTTTGCACAAAATTGCTTATAGCTAATTCCTTAAAAAATATAGGGTAACAAGTATAACATCTTCTTAATACTTTCACAAAAGCATACAAATGTAGTATATAAAAACATATACATATTGCAAATGTAATAACACAATAATTGTCATCTAAGACACAGTGAGGGTAGTCAGAAATTAAATAATGTGGTTCTGCTGCAGCTGCTGTATACATATTGTAATTCATATTCGTGTTTTATTATTCTAATCTAATAATGATAATATATAATGATATATAAAATAATCTAATTGATTTATAGATATTTTAACGAATAATGTTTTATTAACTAGTTACCATATTATGGCAAGATGAAATTAAATCACTTAAGTATTTAGATGCTTTACATAAATGTCAAATTAGAAAAAAATATATATTCGCACACAAATAATAATAAAACAATTCACTGGGAGCCAACCAAATAGTCATTTATAAATTATATTTCAGTTATAATTATCAATATAATATTAAATTATAGCTATAATAATTTGTATAGTTAATACGATATTATCCGAGGATTAAAATGGGTTATAAACTCATGAATCGATTCGTTTTTTTCCGTTTCTTCCACTTAAAAAGTGTGCGTGTAGGGCTAATGCACAAAAAACCAAGGATTATGATTATTATAATTACTTTTATTTACTTCTCTGGTACCTACATATTAAATTATTGTCTCGAGTACTGTCAGTATAATAACTGTAATGACTATTTAGTAGTAGGAGTTTTATAACAACAAAAAATGTAGTTAAATTTTGAATAGAGCTAATTAAAAAGTTCATAAACATCTATGTACAACCGTACATTGAGGTTGTTTGTACACAAGATTTTTCGGATTGCTGGTTGATCTACACAGACTACACAGACTACACAGATGACTGCGTTAAACAGGTATTTGCATGCTATTGAATATTACATACACATCCGTTAGAACACACACGCTTACTACTATAATAATTATGATCTTATATCATCACACACACACAGCAGTTTTACCTCTCACAACAGCAAATGATTGCAAAGCGTTTAGTTTAGCTGTCGGTAACATTGCCTTATGTTTGTTTAATAATAAAAGTTTATAATTAAAGTTATAAAGTGCACACTTTTTTTTATAATCTACTAATTTTATAATGAGACATGCATCCAGCTGCAATTTTACCGAGGAAACGCCCCTTCAATTAAAAAAAAAGAAGTAAATAATGCTATACTTTGATAAGTATAACTTTTTAATATTATTTAATAACACTCAATATTTAATTAATATGTATGTATTAATTACCGTATATATATTACCATTATATGTGTATAATTACCATTTTAATCACTCAAATATACCTACTAATTATTTACTATAATTTATAATTTTCTGTAATTTTTTATAATTTAAAATTAGTTTTTAATATATTCAATTTTAGTTTTATAAGTTTTATGTTAAAAAATAATTATGTTATATCATACCGCAGAACAAAAAAACGAGTATTGTGTTTTTTGTGCATTTTTTAACTGGGATTAGGTATTTTTGTTATTGCGTAGTGGCCTAGGAAAACTAAACAGATTTGTCTAATCACGTGACAACAATGTTTAACCAACTCTGTAATCTCTCTATCAATACTTCTATAACAATGTAGTACTCATGCTATGTATGTAGTATGCTATCTATAAGTGTTTTAGAAACGTTTATAAGGAATCGTTACTTAAGAAGAAATCGAAATCTGGTAAGTTTAAATTATTACATCCTTGAATTCTGTTTAGCTGAATAACGTGAATGTTTAGGTTAGGGCAATTTATTTTTATTGCTAACATATATTTCTGTGATTATGTTAAGGGATAAAAAAAACATTCATACTAAATAGTAAATCGATTTTTTTTGTTTCCGTAACTAAAAGTTTAGTAACAGATTATTAATATTTTTTTGAAATTTCATAGATATACCGTTTGTCTCATTATCAGACTTAATTAAAAGTATATACATTTTTCGACAAAAATCGAAATTTTTTTTTTTAAAACTTAAGGTTTGTGGGGTTGGTGATTTTGTGTTTTTGGTTTTGTACTGAAAATTGGTAGAAGTATATTATTATCTAAATTTTAGTCAGAACCCTAAAACAAATTACTTTGAAAATAATCCAAAAACTTATAGTATTTTAAAGTTGAAAAAAATATCGAGTTTTAGATTTTTTTTTTAATTTTGAAGGAAAAGGGGTGATCTTCTTAATTTGTAATTTTTGAAAGTGCCTGGGTTACACGGGTTATACCTGGTGTATATCTGTAGTAAGATTTATTCATGTAACAGATTACATGAATAAATCAGCCCATTCGTCATTGAGTTATCGTGGATAATGAAAAAAATATTTTTAAAAATACATCATTGCATAACGAACATCTTTTCAGCTCTGCGTTGAAACTAAAAATAAAGTTTCTATTTAATTGAGAATTTTCTAAAAAATTCTGTACTTCACAAATTATTAAGCATAAAATTAACTTATTGGACAACGTAAGTTATGATCAATGTGCAATAGAGCTGTCATTTAATCTATAAATTAAAAACAAATTAATACCTAATTTTACTACAAATACTTAGCGAATTTGTTATTTTGGAATATTTTAGTAATACATGATATTTTGTATTAAGCTGAATCAACACAGTGGTTCCACGTGCTCGCCCGCTGTGTGTGTTATGTATTACATAATATAACATGTATTTTGTTTTATATATATACACCGGTTATATTACACTATATCTAAAATCATTTTCTTATCAACAAAGTGTAGTGTAGTGATTATTGCCCTAGTAGTAATAATACAACAGTAAAAAACAGACATATTTTACCAATTAGCATAAAGCGTACATAAAGCGATTTCCAGTCCACAAAATGAAAAAAAAACCGCTTGTTTCTTAAATATGTTACACGTAGTAACTGGTAACTCACCAATTGGTCAGCAATATATTTTATCATTCTGAAGTACCTGTAGATATTTTTAAAACATTTATATTCAAGCGGAACCAAAGTCTTAAGCTATCTAGGTATCTGCTTTTCCATAACTATCTCACGGACCCCAACTTTCATTTATCAATCTCCCACTTAAATTACATTTATTTTTAATCTTAACACCGTAATTTTTCACATTTTTATTTTTCGAATGACTATTTTAGAGCGAACAAAGTATACTGGATAACTCTTACTTAAAATAATTAATAAAATATATATAATCAAAAGTATATTTTTTCTTTTAAAAAAACTTCGTGTACCATACTTAATACATATTTTATCTTTATATATTTATCTGCCTAGAAACCATCATCTTATGATGGCAGCGTTTGGTCTTAAAGGCCTGTTAAGCTGATGATGATGATGATGTTATATTACACGTGTAGCAATAGCAATCCTGTTTTTAAATAATTAATTTAACAACTATTTTTATAAAAACTCTCTACAAAATTGTGTTTAAAATTAATATAAAATACAAGCTTGTATTTAATAACTAAATATATTAGTAAAATTAGGTAGAGTGGTCATTTAAAAAAATGCCAAATTACGACGAAGACTATGGCTGTTTTTCCGGTTAGTGTCATCTGTATGTTAATAAACATAATATATTATACTAATAGCTAACGAGTCAATTCTGTTGAACTACTGTAATTTATGAAATTAAAATGTTGGTTGTCGTCAAAGAATGTGAGGAATTAATAGTAATTAGTTGATCGAAATAAAATGGTTTTTCAGATTTCAATCAAGACGTTGCCTTGTTCTAGTAGGTATAGCGATATTGGCCGTAGTGGTCTCATTGTTGGTTGTATTATCACATAATGCAAAAATTCCGAATAATGAAGAAATCCAGGATACAGATGCTCTGTTGCCACCGTCAAACATACCAATGGGTATTTACGGCCGAGCCGGTGTTGTGTCTAACGGAGAACCGTGTGCTCAAATCGGACGGTAATACAACTGTAAATATAATATAATTACTTAATTTATAGGCCGAAGGTCGAAACAAAAGAAGGTATTACCGTAGTTTTGATATACTGTATTTATAAATATTTTTTGTCTTCTTCTTCTTAGGGTCTATCAGCCATTAAGACCATCCCATCATACACCCAATCCATTAATTCTCATTGTCAGCTGCTCAAAATATGGACCAAACTTACTCAGTGTATACTGGTCATACGCCTTCTTGGAGTCAATAAAAAGAACCCGTATCTCTTTGTCGTATCTCCGTGTTTTTTAGAATAGCTGTCTGAGATAAATATCTGATTTACCGTCGGCCTTCTTGGTCTATCACCTCCCTGGTAATCACCAATGGGTTGTTCTGCTTTTGTCCATAACTGCGATAGAATGTAGTTCGAAAAGACTTTGTATGTCACGCTTAGAAGAGTAATTCTCCGGTAGTTATTAAAATCTTGTTTATCTCCTTTCTTATTAATTGAACATATTACTGAGGTTTTTCCATTCTACCACACCCTACATATGTTTACCTTAGTTTCTTCTCCTCTATTTTTAGGAATTCTACCTGGATTTTATCTTCCTCAAATAACTTATGTATGTTTTTTAAAACATTTATTTGACATGTCTACTATATTCTGTAATTGCTCTTTTTGCACCGTAGGACTTACAAATACATTTATTTAAATATTAGTTTATCATATAATGCGAATATGATCATAATATGTTTCTTTGTAGAAATGTTTTGAAAAACGGAGGCAATGCAGTCGAAGCAATTATAGCGACATTGATATGCGATGGTGTTCACTGTCCAGAATACATGGGGTTAGGCGGAGGATTTTTGATGACTATTTACAATGGTACTACTAAAACAGCAACATCAGTCAATGCACGTGAATCGGCACCAGCGGCTGCCAATGAGACTATGTTTGTTAATGACTCAGTAAAATCTCAAATAGGTACTTATCCCTACAATGAAATTTATGCGCTGCGTTTGGGCAATTAACAAATAAATCAAGTTTAAAGCAAAATAAATACAGGATACTCAGAGTTTTAATGTCCCGCCTCATTTTTTTTATGAATGATGATATAATAATCTGGATATCTAATCTGATGTCTGGCTGAACAAAAAACACAAAAACTTTAAATCATTATTGTTTGATAAAAACCAAGAATTTTTTTACATAAGTCATTATTATTGTGTATCATAAAAATATCAGGAGTGACCAAGAAATTCCGAACACTCTGTATAAGAATGAAGAAGTAGAATTAATGAATGTGCCCATGCGGGGCCACTGCCTTAGCGGCAAAGGCGACAGAAAATAAAGAGTCGCCTGTTTTATAACAATGATGGAGAAGGGGAATTTTTCTCAACTCTCATCTCAATAATAACTTTAGAAGTTAAACACAAGAAGAATTTATTCAAAACTGGGTATCGATAAGTCTGCAACAGTAATTTGCATTACATCATTCCGCTTTTAAGTGGTAAATAAATATGAATGATGAAATTAATTTGAAAAGTAATATTTTGATAGCTCTGTATATTAACTAACATATCAGAGCTGTCGGGAAAAAAAAATTAAGAACACTGTTAAGTCCGAACCCCTTTCTTATATAAACTTCTTCGTACGATTACTAATCGGATAATTTGGTAATCTAATATACTAGTCGCTCAGTACCAATTACTAAGTCATAAGTATATAACATAAAAGGAGTAAAAGAGAAACATATTTATTCAACTACATATATTTAGGAGGACTGGCAATTGCCGTACCCGGAGAACTTCAAGGATACTGGACTATTTATAACAAATATGGCGGTAAAGTTACGTGGAGTTCGTTATTTGAGCCAACGATTAAGCTGTGCGAAGAGGGAATAGTAGTTAGTCGGCGTTTGGCAAATACCTTGGCGCGATATGAAGACTTAATAAAAACAACTACAACAATCAAGTAAGTTTCTGCGATGTGTGAAAAAGTTATAAATATATTACTTGAAAGGTATTTTGTTACAATTGTCGTGTTTCAGGGATTATTTTATCGATAAAACAACCGGCCATGCCAAAAAAGCCGGAGATACTTACAAACTACCGAAATTAGCCGATACCATGAGGATCATATCAAAAGACGGAGCAGACGCACTGTATAATGGACAGTTGACAGCTGGTATTATAAAAGACATTGAAAATGCCGGGGGTATAATTACTGCGGATGATTTAGCAAACTACAAGTGTGTATAACAATTCACGATTACGAATTCATGATATCGATAGCTTAGTTGACATAATATTATGTGGCAAGTAATAAGTTCATAATACATAAAATTATAATTGTCAAAAGAGAACAATGAACAATAATTATTGTTTTAAAAACACTGTTTTTACTGTTTTTTTTGTATGTATCGCACATAATAGTATCTCAGAGAGGTATTATCTCCATATTTTTATAATTATTACATCTTCGATTAACAAACTGTTTTTCTTGAAAACCTATTGAATTAATTTTCCAGTCCTGTTGAACGAAAAGTATCAGATTTTCTGGCCATTTTATAACATTATTAATATTATGTAAAATCCATTATGCAGACTTTTTTTTATAATACATATCGTATCTCCAAGTTCGCATCCCAACAATTGATAAATCTCTCCATTTCATCAATCTCTTTTAAGTGTTTTTATGGTTCAAAGATTTGATTTTCCGTGTCCCAGCCTTCGGTCAAGTTTTGAACCTTCTCCCAAACCACTCAAATTATCTTGATAGTTTATTTGGTCAAAGTGATTTTTATTGACCGTCGGTGTATGGTTTATAGCAACTAAAATGTTTAAAACAAAGTAAAATGTTCACCAATTTTGTAGTGTGGAAATTGAAGAGGCATTTAACGTGACCTTGAGTAACGGTCTGACATTACACGCAGGACCACCCCCAGGTTCTGGTGTAATATTGGCTTATATCCTACGAGTACTCGATGGAAAACTACCAGCGCCTAATGGAGGTTTGGATGCCCATCGTTTAGTGGAAGCGTTCAAATTTGCTTATGGCGAACGGACTCATCTTGGCGACCATAACTACGTGAACGTGTCTCAGGTAATTTACAGTAGTCGTAAACGATAAATCATCTGTTTTTTGTCTCGGGTTTTGTGTCATTTGCGATTTCAGATTTTCGAAAAAATCAAATCGGACGAGTACATGAAAGACATACAAAACAAAATTAACGATAGCTACACATCGTTGGACCCAGAGTATTACGGAGCGGATTTTGGAATACCCGCTGACCACGGTACAGCCAACGTAGTCGTTTTAGACGATCAAGGAAATGCCGTTGTTGCCACAAGCACCGTTAACACGATGTGATTGTTCAATTATTTACATGTCAAAATAAACTCTGCAGCTCGATTGGATTTTTAGCAATAATTTGCAATTTTCATTATTATTCAGATTCGGTTCAGGCGTAATGTCCGAAAGCACGGGTATTATTTTAAACAACGAAATGGATGACTTTTCCACACCGGGTGTTCCAAATTACTTCGGTTTTCCACCATCCCCAGCAAACTACATACGACCAGGGAAAAGGCCGATGTCATCGATGTGTCCAACAGTGATAACAAACAGTGAAGGAGACGTTGTGCTAGCGTTGGGAGCAGCGGGTGGATCTAAAATCACACTATCTACATCTTATGTAAGTAGACGCCATCAGCTAGTTAACATTACATAACTATTTAGGAAACTATCGATTATCTAATTTTGGCATCTACGATTACTAGTTACTTATTAACATATATTATAATTAACTAAATTTAAACTTATTAGCTTAAGATTTTCCAAAATCAAGGTAAATACATTAAATCAGTAGTAAAGAGTGTTGTTTAATTTTGCAGGTGACCGCTCTGGTAATTTGGTATAATAAATCGCTTAAAGAAGCTGTAGACGAGGCCAGACTCTATCACCAATTGATGCCGATGCAAATTGATTATGAATATGGTGTGCTCAGAGTAAGATTCATATAATAAACACTGTTGCACGAAATTACTTACCTATTATTATTATATTTTTTTTAGGAAGTGGTTGAAGAATTGATTGCAATTGGCCACCCGGTAAAAAGATTGAAATTGAAAGGAGGTTCATCCGTTACAGCTATTCACAAAACCACGACGGGCCAGATAACAGTCATGTCAGACTTCAGACGACCAGGAAATACTTCGGGGTATTAAGCCAACGAACTTTACGGATTTTATGCCGTGTTTCCTCTAAATTTGTTATTTGTCGTCGTTTAAGTTCCTACCCCAAATTTGACGCAATATCCTCTTTCACCACTAGGAAATAAAGATGTGGTGAAAAATTGTTAATAATTGTTTATTTTTAATAATATAAGTTTTTGTGTGCTGAAATAAAAATTCTTTAATCGTTTACTTTAATTGTTAAGACTTCAATATTGAAAAATTATAAAAAAAAAAATAAGTAGAAATGTAATTTGAGCTTACGATCCCATTCAGCAAATGCATTTATAATATTAAAAACTATACTTGTCGTGCCAATATTGAAATATAGACGATATAGGGAACGGCTCCTTCATATTACTCTATGGTAAATCGACAACCACCAACTAGCAACTGCTATTTGTTTCTGGTTTTACAAAAAATCAATTTATGCTAAAAAGAGATATCAATTTTTATTAAACCAACTTTTTTTTTACATTAGAAAAATACTTGAATATATTTTTTATTTATTTTGCTTTGAAATTTATAGAAAATACGTTACTTTCCTAATGTAGCCTTTGGGCTATTGGGGGCTCAAATAGAGACGGGAGGGGCCTAACCCCCCTACTGTTACACCTATGGATTCTATAGGTTTTAGACAAATATAAATGTACCGCACACCAGTAACTTTTTCCCTATCATCTAAATGGATGTGCAATATGGTGTCCAAGAAGTTCTTGGCAACAACGTGTTATTTTTACTGGGTTGCTTTTATAATACCCCAAAGAACACACCATTCACTTCACCTTTGTAAAAATTTGCAACATTACATCTCTTCCTATATAATCTAAAAAATATGAAAAAGTCACAATTTATTACGATCTAGGTATAAATGTATAATTAAAAACTACTGGGGCCGTTTAAACAATTATACAGTGCAACATCATAGTCGTGCTTGAAACTAATTCGGTTATTTTCCATAAAGTTCTAGCTTAATATATAAAGTTGAAAATGTTGTACATATCTCAGGCGTTTTTTCCATTTTAAGAGTAGAACTCTAACAGTAAGATTTTTGTAAATAAAAGACTTTTCGAATATTAATAAATTTCCTACATTGTTTGACATCTTACAAAATGATCTAAATAATGAAAATAAGCACAACTTGTAATTATTATCATTCCCACGCAGTACGCAGACATTTTTCTAACACTCAATTTTGAATTATTTCATCTACGGAGCAACACACAACTTATTTATTAAGCAGTATAACCAGTTTTCGATTAAATTTTGCATGAAGCCAAAACGTGTGTACTTTAATGTCACGGGATAAAGAAAAATCCATATTGCCGTTTAATATTAAAAATAGTAATACTGTAAATGTATATGGAAAAAATGTTATCGGCAAATTTTACGACGTCGTTGTTATGCTATTTTTGTACAAACTACAGAACGAGTATCAGGAAATGTACAGTCGTGTGTAGGGTAAATGAATACTCATAAAAAATGAATGATCTATATATTTTTTTTATTGTTTTGCTATCGTTAGTTAAATTAATACATTTTATTTATTACTATTGGTGCTTTATTTATTATTAGTTATTCAATTATACACCCAGCTAAAGAGAATGAAAAAAATGATCTTCGCTTTATTTTATTAGGGTATATATGTATATTACTATAGTAATAGAAAATCAATAGTCATAAATCATAATATTAATTTTAAGTATGAATGCTACAAATAAAAAACACGATAGATGTAAATTTGTTTTAAAACTATGCGTTTTGTAATATATTTAATAATTTTGACATATTAAAAACGTATTGCCTATTGAAAAACTGATTTTGTTTTTACCAGTTCAATATTTATTATTTTTTTATCACATAGGTGTATATTATGTTAATGGGAAAATATGCAAATGCTGCTATAGTATCTAACGCGAAACATTCTGCTCCTATTGGCCGGTAAATATGTTATAATACACTTATTATTATTTTCTTAAACATCTTTTATTTGTTTTTAATCCTCCTATGTACCAAATTTCCTTAACACTATTCCGTGGAAAAACTAAAGATTTAACGCAGCTAGAAAAATGAAGTTCAGAATCCAAAGTTAATAGTACAGCCATTTTAACTAGACATCTAAAATAATTAATTTTATTTAAATTAGTAATTGTGATTTGAAAAATAAGCTTCATCAGATTATGATTTAATACGTCATGAAATTTTTATAATAGTATTAAATATTAAAAAATATCTTGATATTTTATACTTACATTATTTGGCTCATAATTTTATTTCAGAGATATATTATTACGAGGCGGTAAAGCTGTAGATGCAGCCATAGCTGTAACATTATGCGATAGCGTGCTTTGTCCAGAGTATTTAGGATTAGGTGGAGGTTTTTTAATGACTCTTTACAATAGTGAAACCAAGACACCGATGACAATTGATGCTAGAGAAGTAGCTCCAGCTGCTGCTACTCCCTCAATGTTTTGTAAAAATCAAATTAATTCTCAAATAGGTAGGTTACGTTATTGTGTTGTGCAAATAGATAATGCATGCAAACATAAGCTGTACATGTATTTTAAATGTATTTTGTATTTATAACTATTGATAAAAGAAAAAAATTAATCGAATAATAATATTTAAACAGGTTCATTAGCAATAGGCGTTCCAGGACAACTTAAGGGTTACTGGACTGCTTTCAACAAATTTGGTGGCGGAGTGTCTTGGAAATCATTATTTGAGCCAGCGATTCAAATGTGCGAGGAAGGTATTTCGATTAGCAAACGGTTAGAAACAAATATATGTTGTAATAAAAATGCAATTTTAAAAAACGACATATTAAGGTAATTTCAAAACTAACCTTTTTTAAAACGTTAAAAATATTCGATTAGTCTTATTGATTTGAAAATCCCTATTAAACCAACTGAAAATACATTCAAGTCCGATAGTAATCGAGTAGCTTTAAAATTTATTTGTAGAGAGTATTTTCTCAATAAAGAGACTGGTACGTTAAAGAAAATGGGTGACAGGTTTAGAATGCTGAAATTAGCTGAAACCCTGAAAATCATAGCGCTGAACGGAGCTGATTATTTTTACAATGGACCACTGGCATCTAGAATAGCAAATGAAGTACAAAATGCTGGTGGCATCTTGAGTTTTAAGGATTTAAATGACTACACGTAAGAATTTATAAAATATTTATTCAACTACCAACATAATTGAAACGGCCACAGCTTGACAGGTATGTGGCGTTTTTGAGGGGAACTTAAGGGAAAACCCAATTTTTAAATAATATTATTTTTATACATTTAATAGTTGAAATTTAATGATTATAGTTAATATCAATTTGCAGTAAAGTATAAACCATTATGTTAGAAAAAAATATTTTTACTGTTCAAGATCTATTCACAACTATCTCAAGGTCTAATTTTAAGCGTTTGACTATAATTATATTACTCAAATAAATTACTGCCCTAATCCAACTCTGCTATTAACTTTTTACTGTTTGTTTTGAATAAAAAAAAATTATAAATATTACACAAATCTATTTTTATTATTATTATTCATCGAAGTTTAAATTTTTACTTGAAAATATAATATTACAAATATTTGCCCGTTGTGTAATTTTTTAAAAATGCCTTCTCAGTTCTCTAAGCCCGGCAACCTTTATACGACTATATTACACAAAAAAGTAGTATTTACATATATTTTAGTTATAATTATAATTAACGAGTAAATTTACTGTTACAATTTCATGCGTGCGAATTGAAAAGCCCTTTTCTGTAAATCTGGAAAACGGTTACCGGTTGTATGCGGGTCATCCACCTAGTTCCGGGGTGATTTTAGCTTTTATACTAAAATTGCTCAATGGTATATTTCCAACAAATGACGCCAGTTTGAATGCTCACAAACTGATGGAAGCTTACAAATTTGCTTATGGCGAACGTAGTCATCTTGGTGACCATAAGTTTGAGGATGTATCAGAAGTATGAGCACACTACTCGCTAAATGTATGGTCTTTCAAAGACTTACAAAAAATATAATGTTATTTAGATTTATCGAAAAATAAATTCAGCTTCTTATATTAAAAACATTCAAAACAAAATGTCCAACCGACATACTTCGAATGATCCAAAATTCTATGGAGCTAATTTCTATACTTCAGTAAACTGTGGAACGGCCAATGTGTCGGTATTGGACTCAATGGGCAATGCTGTGGCCATTACAAGTACAATAAATACTGTGTACGTCGATATTTTTTGTTTGTATCTGTTTTTTTTATATATAAAATTAATAATATACTTAATAAAAAACCACACCTATCTTTGTATGCTATTGGAAAATGTAGGTATGTTTGAATTATTTATCAAGTATATAGGTGAAACTAATTATATTATTGTAGAAAGCACATACAATATTTACATCTCTGTGTTTAGGTTTGGTTGCCGTTTTGTATCGCCAAGTACAGGCATTATTTTAAATAGTGAAATGAACGATTTTTCGATACCATCAGGAGCGGTTAATTTTTTCGGTATTCCGCCATCATCTGTCAACTTTATAAAACCACATAAACGACCAATGTCATCAATGTGCCCTTCTATAATCACAGACGTCAGGGGTGATGTAGCTATGGTATTGGGTGCAGCTGGAGGATCGAAAAGTACACTTGCTACAGCCTACGTACGATTTTCATTTATACTACAATCAGAGTTGGGCATTCGAATGAAAAAAATAGTTGATTGTTCGAATAATATTATTTGTAATTTATATTCGAATAAAAACCAAAAACAACGTTTAAATAATATATTTTTTTTTAATGGAAAAAAAATTACCTTATACTTATACTTTTTTATTCAAATCATTGTTATTTGAAAATTATTTAATAAAATATCATATTTTTATTTCAATTCATACGTTATTCAATATCGGTATTATTTTTCATTCTTTAATTTAATAATTCAATTTTGCTCAACTCTGTTTAAAATTTACATTAATGCCCGTTATAACCGTAACCTATCTAATAAAATAGGTGATTGCTCTAACGCTTTGTGGCCATAAAACATTGAAACAATCATTGGATGAACCTCGATTATACCATCAGTTAATGCCCATGCAAATTGAATTTGAATGCGGAATTCCAAACGTAAACTTATAGTATAATGTAATTAGTATAAATCGAATTGAGGAAAATTATAATTTGGTGGGTTATTAATAGTAGACAGATATTAATTGAAGCTATATGGTATGCTATTAATAGCATACCACGCCGGAGTGTTAAAATAAAATAATGTTTATGTAAGTAATTTTGTACCTTACCCACAGCAATAGTTAAATAATGTAGTGTTATTTCTTAGCTTATTTTAATTCGATTAAAATACTGGGATACAATAATATTAGTTGTTGTATAATTTGTTGATAATTCATACACGGTATGACTAAGGAGAAAATTCTTTCGAATAATTTATATTGGACATCGATGGTTGATGCTATAGATGTGTTTATTTCCTGCAGGACGTACTAAAACAACTTATTGATATTGGGCATTCATTAACAAGAGTAAGATTTAAAAGTGGATCGTCTGTCACAGCTATTCATAAAAATAGCACAGGAACTATTACAGCCGCAGCGGATTTCAGACGACCTGGAAGCGTGTCTGGATATTAAAATAATGTGTACCAACTTTTTGATCTACTAAATATTGCGATTTTTTAGTTAAAGGCAAAAGTTTATAAAGTTATATTCATTATATTTATGATATTATAAAATCACATATTTTATTTGTTTTAGGTATGCGCAGAATGTTGACTATGCTAAGTTTAATAGTATTTTTTTTGTGTTTTTAATGTTATGCATTAAATTTACTCACCTATATTTTTTTCTTCCCAACTGCGGTGCCTATAGGGCATATAGTCTTATGCTGTTTCATTAAAAGGATCTTTATTATATATTTAATTATTTTTTAAATGTCAATAACCAAAGTAGATTGTTTGGGAGATGGATTGAAGATATATATAATATATTTTGTTAAGTTCACCTTAAAAGCTTTAATTGTACGTGTAATGTCTATTGCTTTTACATTAATGATCTTATGAACGATATATATTTGTAATGCTAATTTAACTCATATGTATAGATTGTGTTTTTGCCAAATTTGCTCTATCAAACGATTGAAAGACATCTGAAAGAATAAGGACATTTGGTTAGGGCACTATCATACACCTCAATATTAATGATACGATGCAGAAATGTTATCTGCTATTCTATTTATTCTGACTTAGTAGTTATTTTTATGTTTTAAGTGGAAATTGAATTAATTATTTTAAAAAATAAAATGTATTTACGCTAATATTTTATGAACCACATAAATTATATTGAATTTATCAAGAATTGTTTTGTAAAATAAGATTAAATATTAAAAAAAAAAAATCAAATAAATTACCTTAATGATAAATGAAAGTATGAATTTTTCTCAATTGTATGTTGGTCTTTTTCTTCGTATAATCGATAAACGACACTCTAGCGGTATTTAATTAGCTCTTAAACATATCGTCAACAAACCTACAAAACTAATTAAGCAACAATTAACAATGTACATTTTAACAAGTGTCTATATTTATGTGATATATCTTGCAGAGCTGTATTGTTAGTTAATAGCCCAACATAAAGGAATTTTAGAAATGATTTATTCTATTAGTAGTACAAATATGTTACATTAAAAAGTTTAATGTAATCTTTATATCGCAATTTGTCAAACAACGTTCCGGTGAAAGTAATAGCCAAATGAAATTGATTTGAATCAACCGAACACTACAATAGAACAATGGTTGATATTTTACTGAAGTTTCATAATCTCAACTCGTGATATGATTTACTAATTAGGCTGTTATGTATAAAAAACATTTGACTAATACAATATATAGTTTTATGTATTTATTATTTAAAAATATATCGGACAACAAAATACAAAACTAGTATTTTAAAAATATTTGTTTTCTAACGAAAACATGTTTAACATGTAATATATATATATATCAAATATTAATTATCTTTTATGCTGTATGGGATTAAATTCATCATTTCCTCTCCAAAACTCCAGTTCTGGCTTGATTGCATAGAAATGTAATTTGTATTTTACAGTTAAATAAAATGTAATAATCAAAAACACTGGAACCTAATATTATGATTTTTACAAGGAGCCATCATATTTTTAATAAATAAACGTATGTTTTTAAAATCGATACAATTATATCCCCTAATTTTATTGATTACAATTTCAAAAATAAAATATTATTTCATACCTAAACAATTGTTTTTAAACGATAAAACTCTTTATAGATGCATAGTTTACATATTGGTAGAAAACGTCTATAGAAAGCGAAGTGCGCGTTTAAATATTATGTTCATTGTTCAACTTTTATTTATATATTTTAATGTTAAGGATAAAATCGAACTTTAAAAGTAATACTCGTTTAAAAGAACAATAGTAAATACTAAATAGGTAAATATTATTAGTAATAGTTAAAATGTAATATTGTTATTGGTAAAATATACTTGATTTCTTTAAAGTGCTTATCTAGCAATTAAAAACACTAACACAATAATATAAGTTGAGGCCGGAGAGCCTTTATCATGTGCCTATTCTCATATTTCCTATGTGCTCACCACGTATGACGACTGATGAATAATTAGAATTCAAAACTTAGTATTGCGCAATTTGTTTATTACAATAATTCTGAGCAAAAAATTATTGTTTTTTGTAACAGTATTCTGAAAATAATTATTAATAATAAACAAAAACAAAGTAGTAGTATGTATAAATAAAACAATTTTTAATTTAGGTATACAATCTCGTAAGACATTAATTTAAAACTGACACTAAAAAAACATTATTCAACAATAAAAAAAACATAATTAAAATACGTTTATTTACAAATTTTTTTAAAAATAAATCTAGGAATTACACAAAACATTAAACAATAAATGGAGCTATACGTGTGTCAAAAAATAAATACAAATTTTAAATATGGTTTATATATTTTGTTATTTTATATTTATGCAATAATTGTTATAAAGCGCATAAAAGTTTTTTTTAAAAATCTAACAATGTTTTATGATTTTCAATAATGCCAATAGATCATTTTATAATTGAGCTTATAAAATTACACATGATTCGTTATTAAACTATATAGCAATTGCTAAATAAAAGTAACCCGTATTTCACATGGTAACTTTACCTAATACTCTAAATACTAGTCCTATAATTACAAAAAAATAATTTATGGATATTAAGATATTTCAATTTAACAAAATATGCTAAAGGGCGTATTAAACTCATATACAGAACTTATAATTAAACAATGATTGAACCTTGACTTTAAACATAAAACAACAATAATAATATAATTTGTATCGATTATTCAACATACAACCCTAGTCTATACTCTATTTTGATTTCACAGACAGGCCTGCCAACATCATAATAAAACAAATCGCGTATGTAACCAACGTCACTTGTTTTTGTTTCAGAGGAGTGCCTTCTTCCAGTATTGCTTCTTCAGATTTCTCAGTCGGCCTGTTCCACCTCCATAAATTTTGAAAGAATCTAAAAATCAAAACAAATTAAGTACACCACGACGTCATTGGTCACCTTGATTATTAGTTTTAATTTGAATTATTTATTTTTACAAATATTAGAAAAGACCAACACCACAATATGAAAAAGAGTAGACACGACATTTACCCGTCAAATCTAAAAACATTAAATGTATTATAATTTATGAATATTATAGTTACAACTAGAAATTTAAATTTATAAAAAAATAAGTGCCGCGAAACAGAGATAAACAAGAATTTCTCAATAAAAACTTCCTGTGCATATTTGTT